TTGAAAGGGTCACTTGTGCTAAACACTACGCTTAAGTGCATCTTGTTAAAGAATTCAGTCTGTTCTCTTACTTTCTTTTGTCCTGCTGATGGTATCATGTTACTGGTTTGTTATCACTATTTTAATATGATTTGTAGTGCTGTCTCTTGTGAGGACAGTGAGTGGGACAAAAATAACAGATTCTATAGAATTTCTTTCTCTGTGCTTTTCAGAAGTTGCTGCAGAGAATCTAAGGAAAGTTGGATTAATTCCAGACCTTCTGTCAATTTTAAGAAATTTTCTTCATAATGAAAAGATCTGCGCCTCTTGCTGTGGAGTTCTCTGGAGCTTGGCTGTCAGTGGTAAGTAGAACACAGCAAGTATTGTGTCTTGACTCATGTGACCGAGAGGCAGCAGGTATTGTGCCTAATTGAGTTCAGACGTTCCTGTTGCTGGGTCTGGATTTTCCTTCTTTCTCCCATTCTGGTGGGATGTCTCTACAGCACTACTAGAATAACTTTAAGTGATCCAGAGTTAAATGAGAGGAAACTAAAATCTAATGCAGACTTTTCAGCAATCCTTTTTGTGATAAGTCAAAGTCAAATCTTTACTGTTTAGGCCAAGGTATGGCTTATGAACAGCCTGTCAGAAAGGAAAAGGTTCCACACAGCTACTGGCTTGTCAGTCATGTGGTTTTGCTCTGCTCTTAGCAGAGGGAGTGCAGCTTATTAGATTAGGTATCAGAATAGCATTTGGAATTAATAGTATCTTACTTCTTTGCATCACACTTCTCTTGGCAGCACTGGGCTAAATCTTGAGTTGGACATTTCCTAGAGACTTGCTTTTCCAAAACAAATGTGATTGGCAAGGTGGCAAGCATATTCTCCTTCATTGTCTTAGAACTAACCCAGCATCATCCCACAGTGCTGGAGAGCCATGGGTCATTGCTGGAGCTGACCCCTTCTTATGAGACCATGCTGGGATTTTTTTAGGCGATTTGCTTCTGTGACCTGTTCTTGTATAGGTGTGTGGTGTTCTAATCACCAAGGACAGCTGAAAGCACAGAATATGCACAATTAGACTTGTGCTTTATTCCCTGTGTGCAACAAACCACTCATTTGATTTATGTGACCTGCTAAATATTCATCCTGCAGACTGTATTCTGTCAAAAAGGTGGTTATTTTTGGAGGTTTCTTGCTGTGATCCCCATGTATAATTTAAATGGCCAAGAAAACTAGTTCCTGGAGAAGTTCAGCTTTCTGCAATGAACATTGCTATTTATTAGTCCTCTAAAAGTTGATTTGGTTTTGTACACTTGAAATTCCTTCCATCTGCTGTTGTCCATGCTCAAATAATGTTGCATTACTCCAATGCCATCACCCATTACAGTTTTAACTGATATAATTTGACATATAATGTGCTTATGATATTACTACTTGATTAAGTAACTCTGATGCATTTCCTTTTTGTTATGGTCATTCAGAAAATAACGTAGACCAAGCATTGCTGAAAAGTGCTGTCCCTGTCACCTCCGCAGTCCTTCAAGAGCACCTCCAGAATGGAACAGTTACAGAGTCTGCTTGCTCAGCTCTATGGGCACTGTCACTCCAAGGTGTGTTTTCCCAGCTTTCTCGTCCCTTCTGTGTGGAAGAGGCTAGTATGCCAAACCTGTCTGTCTGTCAGTGGTGATCCTTGAAATACAGGCTGCGTGGCCTTCGCAGGCTCTGCAGATGGCAGCAGAGTTAGGAACTTGCATCCTCTCTTAACCAGTCTTCCATGCACTTGCTCTCTAACACTCCCTAATGAAGCTATTTTTGATGAGCCATAGCACTTATATAACTAGATGCTGCTGATGGGTACTGTAACGATGGGCAGCTACAAGACGTTGTTCTGCAGAGCATTCTCTCTGGCTTCTCTCTTAAGACCAAGAATCCCATTTGTGTTACTCCTTTGAACACAGCATTAGCGTTGTGCAGCATGGGCTGGGAGGTTTGTTTTATGCCATTTGCTTTGTAAATTGGGAACAGTATTCCAGGTTAAAAAATAAAATGTCTGTCTCTGTCATTATTGTGTGCATTAAGAAACACACCCTCGCAGTACTACTCTGTCTTATTTCTTCCTCATGCAAGAATATTGCCGTATGTTTCCCTACTGCACGTATGTCATCGTTCTGCTAGGAAGAGCCGAGTAAAACACCCTAAGCAATCTTGTTTCTAGTCCCCACCAGCAGAATAGGTTGAGTATTCAGGGCTCTCCCTTCCTTTTGGCTTGGAGAATGAAAGGGAATCTTGACATGGAAGATGTATCAGAAATTTCTCCTAGACCCCTGGATTAATTCATGCAGAGATTTTATTGGCCCTTTTTTACTGCAGCATAGGTTTTCACATGCTTTCTTTGTAACTTTTACCGCAATTAAAAGTTGTTTCAGAAACAGGAGGCAGAAGTTGAAATGCTGATGAGTGTTTTTAATTAAAGTCTTTTGAGTATATTGAAGTTTTGGGGTTTTGTGTGTGTCTTTTTTTTTTTTTTTTTTTTTTTTTTTTTTAAAAGGTTGCTTAACTGAAAATGAATACGAGCCCACAACAGCACTGCTGCTGGATGCACTCAGGATGAATCCAGAAAGACCGGTGCTGGTGAAGAACACCTGCCTGGCATTAGCAAGCCTTATAAGGCTATCTGGTAACATTCAGCAATTTGGTTTTTTTATTAATTGCGAATCAGCTCGGAAGTGAATGTTTCTGTATAGTTCAAGAGTTCATAGAGTGGGATTGGGATTGGCGTCTGCTCTCCCAGGTTAGTCTTTTCTGTCAGGGCTGGAAGAGGAAACAGTGAAACTGGAGGTGTGAATCTTTTTCTTCCCATGGACCCAGCGTACATTATGAGAAGTATTAGATCAGTACATTTGATCAATTAGTAACTTGAGAGTGTTTTGTTACTTATTTTACAATGAAACTGTTTCAACTGTGCAAATGGGTGGAGCTCAATCAATGCGAAAACAGTGAACATGAAAGTACCACTTCTGCCATGCATGAGAGTGGTGCCTGCCTATACGGTCTCCTGGTTCTTGCCCAAATCGCTTTAGAATAGCTTTTAGGAAGGCTGACAACAATGGACATGACTTCCTGGAAAAATATTACATGTGTGCTAGCTGGAGCAGGGGACTGGAAGCAGATAATGCAGCCTGTAGCTACCAATTAGCCCAGCAGTGTTTGTCTCCCTTTCAGAACTATCAGCTTTGAGATTTATAACGGATTCGAAAGGCAGCGGAATAAACCTGGTCAAAGATGCCTACCACCTTCACTTTGATGATCCAGAAGTGGTGGAAAATATCTGTGTGCTGATGAACGAGATGGCTCAGTATGGTGAGATGGTGGTGGTGGTTGTCAAGTTTCTTTCTCTCCCCCACCCCCAAAAGACAGTAAAGAAAATCGTAACAGCAGCTGCTTGGGGACATGTTAGTTGCTCTCAGGAAAGACTTACTATATATCTGAGAAAGGAGGATGAACTGGAACTGAGAGTTCATCTCACTTGTTCTTGAATAATTATAAATGCCCCTCGATGTTGTAACTTCACCTTATCTTGTCTTCTGTTTGTGTAGATCTGGCCCCTCCCCGCTCTCCTTTACCTCCTGCTGACACCATTGGCAGGTGTAACCATAAATTATCCTGTTCATTTACATTACAGATGATGTTGTGCTGGATATGCTGTCCCAGAAAATGGAAGAACTGCTGTTTGAAATAAAAAGCCGTTTTCCATCTAGTGTGGTATGTAGAAGTCACTGTGGTAATAAAGGGTGGATGCTTAGTATATTGGTTTTGGTTATGGATTTTATCATTCTCAAATAGCTGGAATTGCATAGTGCAGAAATTTACAGAATTATGTGTATATGGGGTGGAGAGTGAGTTTGTAAGAGTATTTCTAACTACTGAAAACAAGTAGTTGGAAGCTTTTTTCTTTATGCTGTAATTTTTTTAAAACTATGTTCTGCGCTCTCGCAATATTGCACTGCGTTCATTTACTACATTCTTCATACTAAAACAGGCTGAAGTTTACAGGAATAAAGCATAGGTATATTACATCCAATTATTTTTGCTTTGTAAGTGACATCCTTAAAGAAAACCCCAAACAACAAAACCAACAAAATAAACCTGTGACAGTTTGCCTGAAGATTTAACTTGTCTTGAATTCCAACAAGTAGTCAGACTGAAAAAGCTTAACTGTAGAAATACCAGAAACAGCAAGTTATTGAAGCTATTTCATGTGTTACACTAATGTTTCCTTTGCAATGGCTTGCCATCAAGAAACTGGCAATTATAAGTTTGTTCATCAAGCCAATAAAACTGGTTAGTCTTATAACTTTGCTCTTTTTAGTTATGCATAATTTGTCTCAAAGACAGTTACACGCAAGCTTGTTCCCCTGTGTCTCCTGCAGGCACTGCCTGCACCATTTTAGTGATCACTGTAGCTATAAGGTAGTGCAGAAAAAAAGAATCACAAAAGAGAAGAAAGCTCCCTCTTCTGTTGTAAATGTAACTTGTTCCCGTGTCCCCTGTTGACAGACAAGACCAGAACACTCCCGTTCTGGCAATACAGCGAGCGACGTGCAACTGCTAAATCTCCAAACCCCACTCCTTGTTACCTTCCAGTATCCACTTAGATTATTTAAATCACAGCATTGGTATTCAGTCTGGTAATTACAGTTGGTTTGGATTTTGCAGAATCAGACCCCACATATGTTTAAAACACCACTCACTTTAAGGGCTTACGTCAGACATGGTGTTTTTATTAATAAAGAATATAAAAATAAGTGAAGCAACAAGGTAATCTTGTATTTGACAGTTCTCACATTTCTCTCCAGGAGATAGTGACCCTTGTGGATGCAACGCTTTTGAAACTGCAGAAGTAGAAGAAAACCTTTCTGTGTAAGAACAAGAATTGTACACTTCTGGTTCAGATATAAAAGCCAGGATCCTCCATAAATACTTTAAAGATTTTTCTCACAAGAAAGATTAATACTGGGCCATTAGTAATATATAAACAGTTATATATTCTGTTGATTTTTAGGTACCACAACTGTGAGACTAACAGCAATAATTAAGAACTTGCTGTACTTTGTAGACTTTAAAATATTTGAAATAAAGATTTTAGTCTTGGGAGTTTCAGCAAAGCAATGACAGTTTCTTCCTTCATCTACTCAATTTAAAAACACTTTTTAAACTCAGTGTGTATTTCCTTTGCAGAAATTGAACCAAGTACTTCACAAATGCAGGCATTTGTTGCAAGTATTGCTTAAACATGGTAGGAGGCATTAGGCATAGGTACCATCCAGAACAGGGATACCAGTAGTATCTTTTATGGCAGCAGTCAGGCCCCAGGTTAGGAAATATTGTCTTTTGATTTTATGAAGTAGCTGCTGTCAGTTCTAAGTTTGCCCTGGAATGTGCCATGAAACCAGCAAATGCTGCAGATAAAAACACAATGTAGAATCATTCAAGTTTTACAATTTTTGTTATTAGATTTGTTCTTAACAGCAGCTTCCCATTTCTTTTTCTCTAAGGTGTACAGTCTCATAGCTGCTTGTGCATCCTGAATCTAAAAGAGAACAGAACAGGAGGCTTAATGAAACATAGCTCATGGTTTAAGAACATTATTGTTAATAAGCAGCTAAATCTTCTATCATTTTAATATATCCTTTCAATTAAATTTCATAAACTCTTTCTAGCTTTAGGTTCTGTGACTAGTGAAAGGGGATGAATCTCTCTTCAGAATGCATGGCCCACCACAAGGCTATGCACTTCTCTTACTGATTGTGACTTGGAAAGCCATAATGAAAAAATACTCTTCATACAGTATCTTGGAGATACCCTCACAGTTTGTCCTGCTTTCTCACTTCTCTCCTCTATTATTATCCTCCTGTCCACTGAGAGAAGGGAACTAACTGCTGAGATTCGGTAGCAGGCTCTCGCACTACTTTATCCAACCTGTTACAGTACAGTGGTGCAGAATGCTGCTTTTGAGGTAAGCAGTCAATACCTGAGCATTACTTTTTTCCCCTAAAGATCTTAAAATAACCAGAACTAATATTTAAACAAAATACAATTGCCTTGGTAAAATAAAGTTTATGAAAATAAGGAAATAATACAAGTGGTATGAGACACAAAAGAGTAAGCAAGCTTAGATGGCAATCTAACTGCATGCTGCTGTCCAAGCAGAGCTTCCCAACTTTCACTGAGAGACTAGAATGAAGCCACGGCATTCTGGATTGAACCCAGATCTTAGAGCTAATGTGTAGCACCTTGTTGATCTACCCCAAAATGTGTGTTCTGATGAGATACATACCGAGCAGTGCTCTGATGTCTGCACTTGAACATTCAGCACTCTCTCACAGAGCAGTTTCAATGACGGCCGTGAACTCTAGAAGGAAGAAAAAAGAATCATGGTGTCTCGCACTACTTGAAATATGTATGTGTGTATACATGTAAAAATATTAGTTTTAAGTGTATTCCTCAGTAAAGTATAACACACATCTCGGCTTCTATTGGTGAATGGTCAAGAAGAATTAATGAATTACAAGATTTATGCATGCCCTGCTGAGAGGACTTTAACTATATTACCATAACTTTAAGATTTATGTTTGGGGTGCTTTGTTGTGAAAAAGAAAACCTGAGTATATAGTTATAAAACTTAAAATATCTCCTGTAATCTGAACCTTTACTCCTGCAGTCTAAACAGCCATCTATTTTTTTTTATATTCCTATGGAAATGATACTATTCCAGTCTAAACAGAAACTTGAAGCCATCTATTTTTTTTTTTTATATTCCTATGGAAATGATACTATTAAGAAGATCACAAAAGGCTTACTGTAAGTAGAACTGTACTGTCTTTGTTTGCTATCCAGAAAAGCATTATGAAGAACATGCAAGTGCTAAAGAATGGGAGAGCCACTGAATTTTGTGCACAAGTATTACTGGTAATGTTTGTACTGAACTAAGTAACTTACTGATGTAAGCACTAAGTAAGCGTTCAACTAGACTAGTTGTTTCAAATGACAAAAAGCAGGCATCCCTGTTTCAGGTAGGAATGAAGGAACAGGGTCAGGTAGGGGCAAGCATAGGAGGAGTGAGCTGGCAGCTGGGAGTCAGAAGCTCGAGTCAGATGAGGTGCACATTCCCATCAGTTTCTTACCTTGACTCTCTGTCTGAAAGGCTTGTATCTTTGTGTGTCACGTATTTTCTTCTTAGGATGATCAAGAAATAGGACCTAGAAGAAATGACATTTCCAGTCCAAAGTGTGCTGTTGTATGGGAATTTATACAGCTGAACGTATAGCTTCCTGCTCTTTCCATCCATCCCTTATAAAAGATAGTTCGAAACCATGAAGACAAGACCAAGATCATCCAGCCACTGGCTAGGTTCAAGCACCACAGTTCTACTTAGTGTAAGAAAGTGAAATGAATCTGGAGGCACCACCTGTAGAGACTACCTGCAGTGCTGGTACAGCATGACAGAAGGTACCTGTCTCTGGTAACCATGACCAGAGTGCTGAGCTTTGGGGGCTAAGCAAAGCATGCAGATTTTCTATCGTCCTGTTTCTCTCCTGGCTCTTCAGTAAGCAGATCAAGTGCTATTAGCAACAGAGTTTGGAAGCTGAAGAACTTTAGTGGGCAAGTGACTAGGGCTATACTTGGTGCAGCATAAAATAACAAGAAACTGAGGTAACGGCAATAAAGCTGTAGTTTCTAGGAGTTTAGGTGTGTTCATCTGATCCAGACAGATGTATTAGAAATTTAATCAATCTTAAATATTCAGAGCCTTGACTTCAAAATAACAAATCTGCAGCCACGTACCTTTAGATCGTTGCGTAAAGCATGTCCAACTAAAATCCTTCCATTCAAGATGTCAGCAACCTCCTTCTGAACCGTTTTAAAATCTTCACCTAAAAATACCACACAACGAAGCACTGTCCATTAGATGCACAAGACAGCTAAGCAAACTACAGTTAGAACACTGCATCTTTTTTGTGAAGGCAATTGTATCCTTGGGACTGTGGTTGTACAAATTCGCGCAGCACACTAAATCCTCTACCTGTTAAAAGAGTGTTATAGTATGGGAATAATAGGAAATTTATTTCCTTTTAGTGCTATGTTCTTTATGGAATTCTCTACACTCTTTTAACAAGTAGAGGATTTAGTGTGCTGCAAAAATTCCATAAAGAACATAGCACTAAAAGGAAATAAATTTCCTATTATTCCCATACTATAATCCACAAGCTTATTTCTTTTAGTGCATTAGTGACTGCTCTGTAAAAAGTACTTCTTCCTGCCATTTTTCTTAGAATTCAGACTACGTTTTGTTCTCTGTTCCCCAAAATAGGCCTAACTTTTCCAAGCTTGGCCAAAGAGGCTTCTGTGATAGCCTGTTAGATTTTTCTTCCTTAAAGAATGTTTTTTGGGAAAACCCCTCCTACCTGTATTTATATTCTCGGGCCGTATGCCGCTGACAGCTGTTCTGTAATCAGTCACCTTTTCTGTAGGCTTGACATACTTGTCATAAACGCACTTTCCAAATTGGTTCACGATGGACACACGAGCCACGATACTTTCTTCACCCTTAGGTCCCACTCCCACCATCTCACAGTCCATGGCTACAGCTCGTGTCAGCCTAAAAGACAAAGGACAGCTCTGTTACAGGGACTGCAGCATGGAGTTCACAAGGTTCACGTGTTGATGGGAATGGGGAAAACTCGGCAGTTTGTCTGCCAGCAGACTCATGGAGATGCCAGCTTATGCTGTGCACCTGCAAATGACAGCTATCAGAAGACAATTTCCATGCCTCTGCTGCCATCCTTCCTGCTGGAATGCAACTCACCCTTCAGAAGCCTTTTCTTTAACCAGCACCTGCTCCACAGACTGTTTGGATGGACCTGTTTCGAGTCCCAGATTTCTTCTAGCAATTTTTGCTGCTTCAGGTCCTATTGCTGCTTCAATATCTTTGGGATCAACGTCATCAAACCAGATTTCAGCCCTGGTAAGTACAGATTTAATTACATATAGCAGTCTTAAAGTGGTCTTGCATCTTTATAGTGTAGGAAAAACTTATTTATTTTTTAAATTAAGAAATTAGCTCTGTGAAAATTAGTCTAGTACTATCACCCATGCAGGTCTGTTGCTGTATCTGAGGAGCAGGGGCAGCCTGTGTCTTATTTCTCCCAAGACTTAGTCTGGAAGAGTGCAGCTGTTTCAAATGTACTGCCCCGTGCTCCTTATGTACACCTGCTGGACTAAATAATCACATGCATGTATGATGCCCTAAGTACTCACTCTTTGGGTTGCTGCTCCACATGTTCTTCAGCTTTCCTCCTCTTGTGTTTTATATCACTTTTCTCCTTTAAAATAATGCCATTTTTCTTTTTTTCTTGGCAACCTTTTCCATTGCTTTTGGTGCTATTTAAATTCTTATCTGTTGCAACCCTCTTGGATTTTGGCTTAGCCAAAGGAGGATTCTCTTTAGCGGAACCATCGTCCTTTTTATTTGTGGGTTTGGCCTTTACCGCGTTCCCATTGACCGCTGGAACTTCTTGGTTATTTCCCACTTTGAGTGGATGCTTCTTTTTGGTGTGTGTTTGACATGTAGGGAGGGACTCGTTGGAGCCATTTGCCTTTTGTTTCAGTAGCAGAAATGAGGACAAAAAAAAAAAGGGGGGGGGGGGGGGGAAATAATTATCTTTCCATTTCTGCCCCCACCACTGCTCTGCCTCAGTGCCAAGCGGCCCCGCACTCTCCAGCTCTAAGGGGATGTCGCGCTGCGGGTAATTCCCCATCCCTGCCTGCGGCACTTTATTTATCGACACAAAGCTCGTTATTTCTTTATTACCACCTGCCCCGGGGGGCTGCACTCAGAGAAC